TTTTGAAAAAGTGGCATTTTTGTAAAGATTTCAAAAGTGTGGCATTTTTGTAAAGTGGCACTTGAAAAGTGGCATTTTTTGAAATTTCTCTTTCCATTATGACATATACTTTTAATTGAAATGTTTTGATTGGTCAAATTAAATTATGTGTCCCTTAAATTGCTCATTGATTGATAACTATGATTTTTTTTCTCGGAAAAATCATTCTAATGTCCCTTAAATTGCTCATTGATTGATAACTATGATTTTTTTCTCGGAAAAATCATTCTAAGCTACACGAAGTATACTCCAACGCATGACTACACATCCAAACTAAATTAATGTATCAAAATCTACAACAAGTATTGAATTTGCATAATGACATTCACGAATAAACATAGGTTATGTGGCTAACACCATAACCATCACTTTTGTCACGATTTTGGTGTACCGCACGATGGAACTGATAAAGTCCGGTGAGATCCGAATTGATAAAAAAACATTATCCGGCCTGGTTAGTAACTAACCCAAAATTCAAGCTAATCGACTGTGTTTTTTTAAGTAACAGTGGCCTCTAATATATTAGGAGCTACTAGTTTATGTTATTTACGTTAATATGAACCCAGTACAAAGACAAAGGAAGTGCAATCATGAATTATAACAAAACAAATTCATCCAAAAAATCTGAAAAAACAAAAATAAGTCGATTGGCTTGCCAAAAAAATCCCAAAAAAGAAGAAGTCGATTATCAAAACATCCTAAAATGTGCTTGCTAATATAAAAAAACAGTCTTTGTAGTCTCTTTATCATCCAAAACGCAATCTAGCCAATTAATTGGTTTCCTTGCAGTGCAATTGAAGAAATATTCCTTCTACTTGAGCTTCCAAGCAGTAATTCGAGCAAACGCCTCCAGTTTCAAGTGAACATGACGATCTTTTTCCTCTCTCAAAAACCTAGGTGAATAATGACTATTTACAAAACTAGATCGATACAATTGAACTTATAGTATTGTGGGTTGGTTTGCTTTTGTTTAGTTAAGAATTGACTTAGTTTGGGATAATTCAAATGGTTTCGGATTAAATTAACCGGATATTTTTGTTGTTGGTCTAACCGGACTTTACTAGTTCCGTCATGCGGTTCACCAAAACAAGGACAAAAGTGATGGCTATGGTGTTAGCCACATAACCTATGTTTGTTCGTAAATGTCATCATATAAATTCAATACTTGGTGTAGATTTTGATACATTAATTTAGTTTGGATGTGTAGCCATGCGTTGGAGTATACTTCGTGTAGCTTGGAATGATTTTTTTTTTTTTCTGTAGTGTCTCCTCAATTACTATATAGAAGATTACTCTTGCCTTAATCGATGAATTTTTAGGGTTTTTATCTAGTTTTATGTTTATATATAATATATATCGAACCAGCAAAAATATGAGTTAATGTAGTGGTTTATGTTCGTTTAATGTATTTAAGGATTCAGGTTCGGAATCCATGAAAGAAATTTTGTTCTTTTTTAGTTAATGAAGGACAAAAACGACATTTTATTTTCATCTTCTTCCCCAGGTTCTCTGATCTGGAACCCTAAAACAGCTTGTCATTTTTCTTTTGCTTTTCATCAATTTCTTTCGTTATTCATCATATGTCTAAATTTAATGGATCTAACAATATATGTATGCTTCTCAAGTTAAGAAAAAAAACAAAAAATTGAGTTTTTGAGAATGGCTATGCTTCTCAAGTTAAGAAAAAAAAACAAAAAATTGAGTTTTTGAGAATGGCCGAGTTTTAGACCTCATATGCTGAAATCACGGTGACTCTTTACTGCCAAACCTCCGCATGTATGGTCGCCGAGCCTGCATTTTCGAACAGAGATGCATACACATGCTATTTTCCCCATGTATAATGTCCCACATTGTTAAAAGAAAATATTTTCATGTAGTATATAAAAGAGGAAACTTATGTTTAAGTTCAAAAAATTAGAACATATATGGTGCATGTATGAGTGGAGAAATAAAAAAACCACATGCGTGCTTGCTCGCCTAGCCTTGCCGGGCCGGCCTCAAGGCTCGTGGTCTTGTGGTCTTTTTAATTTGGCACTTAGGACACTTAGGCTCATGGGCTTGATTCGTTAGATTCAAGTACGGGTCAATGTTGATTTCTTTTGGGATAAGATTTTATTCAATTTAATTTTGAATAAAAATTGACTCAATAAATCAAAGATCTTCTCATGAATATACGCCCAATGTCTTCCACTCGGTCAAAACTGCTCAGAGATCTCCTCCACGTGAGAGAGATTTTTGGACTGTTAAACTGCACACTCCTTGGCTATAAAACGAGCCTTCCTCTGAAGCATTATCTTCACGTTCTGAAACCTATCAGAAAACAAAACATTCAACTCTCTCTCTTTCTCTCATTTTGGTCTCTCTAATTTCATAGATTCTGATTTCGAGTGTTGCTAATGAGTCTCGTCAAGGTCGTATCATGGGATTTATTATCGTAATAAACCGTCACATTACGAGCGTCATTTGGAATCAAGGAAAGAGATTCGTCTCGCTTTCTTGAATTGTTTATCGGTTCCGTTTCTTTTATGATTCAATTTCATTTCTCTCAATTGTTTATTTCCTATGTTACCCAGTTTTTAATCCTGGTTCTATAAATTCTTCCTATTATCTTTCCAGTAAACTATATCTTCGTGGAATTCTCTACTTCCTCTTCTATGATCCTTCTCAGACAAGTTCTTATAGATGATCAATGTATTACAATCATCATAGCATGCCTCTTGCTATGACAGCATCGTCCCACTCAAGTTTGATATCGAGTCTGATGGGATCTTTGCCGCATTCTTAGTCCTCAATACCAGAATTGAGCTTACAATACTAATAGCATGTGAGATTCACACAAGAACAACACAAAGCATCTTTATCTAACAAGGAGAATTCATCTTAACGTTACAATTAGATCCAAAATATAGATGAATTGATCATTGAGATACACCCAATAAAAAATCACCAATAAATTCCCCAATTTCAAGCCTCGATTCAAACCTCCAAACACACAATTTCAAGACAGATTTAAAATATGTAAGATGCTGATAGTTTTTTTGTTTTGTTTTGCATTTATGTAAAATTTTATTCAATCAAAATTTCTTTTTTATAAAGAATGTGTCATGTGTTTTTTCTATAGAATTGAAATCAGAAACATAATTAAAAGCATAATTTGGTTACGGCAAAACTAACGAGCCAAGCACCACAACTCCATGATGTCTGTATAGATCTAAAATCTTGAGCTACGAATCGAGTTATTACGCGTTCTCGTCGATTAACTTAAATAAAGGAGGATGTTGGCAAGGTGATGTTTCCATGCCACCATTTATTTAATTGTCACCATATATGATAAACACATGAGGGGAAAACATAACGAATCAAAAATTATCCATACTTTTTGTCGATTACATGTTAGGAGATCAACGATTTGGCTTCAAATAGTTGAGTTTTCACTTCCAAGAAGTTTCAACATGGTTCTCCTCCATATCTCTCCAGATGTACTATATTCGAAGAAGAGATACACGTTTCCT